GGTGGGTATGATGTGGACAGAAATGGGTACAATGTGGACAGAGGTGGATACGATGTGGACAGAGGTGGGTATGATGTGGACAGAGATGGGTACAATGTGGACAGAGGTGGGTACGATGTGGACAGCGGTGGGTACAATGTGAGCAGAGGTGGGTACAATGTGGACAGAGGTGGCTACGATGTGGGCAGAGGTGGGTACAATGTGGACAGAAGTGGGTACAAAGGTGGCAAAAGTGGATACAAAAGGGGCAGAGGTAAGTATGATGTGAACAGAGGTAGGTACAATGTGGACAGAGATGAGTACAAAAGTGGCAGAGGCAGGTATGATGTGGAATGAGGTGAGTACGATGTGGGTAGGGGTTGGTACAATGGGGACAGATATGGGTACAATGAGGACAAAGGTGGGTATGATGTGGAAAGAGGTGGGACGACGTGGACTGAGGTGGGTAAAAAGGGAGCAGATGTGATATGAGGACAGAGGTGAGTACGATGTGGGCAGGGGTAGATACGATGTGGACAGAGGTGGGTACGATGTGGTCAGAGGTGGGTACGATGTGGGCAGAGGTAGGTATGATGTGGGCAGAGGTGGGTACAATGTGGGCAGGGGTGGGTACGATGTGAGCAGGGGTAGGTACAATGTGGGCAGGGGTAGGTACGATGTGGGCAGAGGTAGGTACGATGTGGGCAGAGGTGGGTACGATGTGGACAGAGGGTAGGTACAATGTGGGCAGAGGGTAGGTACGATGTGGGCAGAGGTGGTACGATGTGGGCAGAGGTGGGTACGATGTGGGCAGAAGTGGGTACGATGTGGGCAGAGGTGGATATGATATGGGCAGGGGTGGGTACGATGTGGGCAGAGGTAGGTATGATATAGACAGAGGTGAATACGATGTGGGCAGGGTTAGGTACGATGTGGGCAGAGGTGGGTACAATGTGGGCAGAGGTAGGTACAATGCGAGCAGAGGTAGGTACGATGTGGGCAGAGGTGGGTAAGATGTGGGCAGAGGTGTGTATGATGTAGGCAACAAAACCATCATCTCAGTTGTCACAAACAGAATTAGAAGCTGCAGCAGAAAATTCACCCATTTTCTTCACTGTTTTCAGTCTCCAGCAGTCAACGGTCAGTGAGGTACGACCTTAAACACAAGACCACCATGGCCAGTACTGCTCCAAGCTCTACCAGGTCGAGGAATGTTGGTGTGTTGGGCCCCACCAAACACCACACAGCTCAACCCTGACACCACCATAATACACCACCAGGATCTACAAGGAACCAAACAGGACCTTGCAGAGACTATCCACAGTCATAGAGGGGTCACCAATCTTAGCTTTGCTTCCTGATTCACCAAGCTGTCTGCTGCAGGTAAGACACAGACTGCTCATAAACACCTGAACTATCCCTTTAAAGCCAAACAGCAGCAGTGAAGTCGATACTCACATCCCACCATCATCATGGCCACAGAGAAGATCTTCTCTCCATCCGTGGTGGGAGCGATGTTCCCGAAGCCGATGGTGGTCAGGCTGGTCATGGTGAAATATAGAGAGGTGATGTAAAGAGAGTCCTTCCCAGGCCCGCCCTCCCATTGGCCCGACCCGCTGGCGTTGTATCTGTACGGTGACCCGATGCTCATCGCCAGCTGGTAGAGCCAGCTGTCCATTTTTACGGTGTTGGTGGCCTCATCAATGACCTCATAATCTCCAATGCTGTACCTGATGGAGAGAAACACCACCTGTCAGGAAACCACCGACCAAACAGAACCTTCCTCTAAATGAGGCCGCTGCACAGGAAACCAAAAATCCATCGTCATCGCTAAATCAGTGAGCACGTTTTCAACCTGACAAACGCCATCATTCATGTTCTGCTGGTAAAATTATATCGAGCCAGTCCAACAGACCTGGTCCTGAGGACTCACCTGCTATGGACGATGGGATGAGGCAAGAAAATATGGGCAGCCTAGAGTATGTGATGAGAATGACTCTCAGCTACTACCACACCGCATTTTAGCTCAAGGTTTGGGATCGGTTACATTTTCACAGGTTCCAGAGAGTCCACTGAGTTCTTAAAACACCCCTGAAGACCCTGCAGAGACCATCCAGGTTTGGACGGATCCATCGTAGGGGTTAGGGTTAGTAGAGCTTGGATTCTGATACAAAACCAAGTAGAACCTGTTTGAAAATGACTTGAGCCCCCCGTGGCCCCCCAGTTGCGATTGAAAACAACGAACGTACCAGATACAGGCCAGCCAGTGGGCCACCAGTCCAAAGACGCAGACCAACAGGACCAGCACCGCAGCGCCGTACTCCAGGTAGTGGTCCAGTTTCCTGGCAACCCGACCCAAGCGAAGCAGACGGACCACCTTCAGAGAGCTGAACAGGCTGCTGATGCCCTGGAGAGGAGGAAGAAGGGAGGAAGAGGAGGACACCGATGAAAGAAACGTGAGGTTGATGTTATCAAAGGAAGACAAGCAAACTGTCATCACAGGTGAGTTTCAGGTTTCTGCTGGATGAAAACACACACTGTTGCTCGGCAACAAATGTTTCTTCAGCCAAATTCTTCTGGATCACAGTTCCGGTAATTAACGATCACCCATGTGTTTAATAACAAGAGAGAGTCTTCAACTGCTGGACTTCAGGCTCGTATATTTCATGAAACATAAAAAAAACATTTGGATTAACTCTGTAAAAGAAGAAACATTAAACGTTCTAAAAAAGTTTAGGGTTTTCTTTTTGTCTAAGGAAAATGAACAAAAAACATCAGATAAAAACATTGCAACAATTAAAAACATATTTCTAAGGATGCACGATATTATCAGCATGGTATCGGTATCGGCCGATAAAAGCGATAAAAGATAAAGTTAAATATCGGACATTCCATCAAAATAACTCACTAATATAAAAGGTAGTTATATATATATATATATATATATATATATATATATATATATATATATTGATTGATTGATTGATTGATTTTTATTGTCAATTCTGCATATGTACAGGACATACATAGAAATTGAAATTGCGTTACACTCCTACTCAATTTGCAGCAAACAACAACATTAGCAAAAATAAACTAACACAACTAGTTATATAAAAAAATATAAAAAAATATAAAAGTGAACAGCAGCAGGACCTCTGATGCAACGTGCATATATATATATATATATATATGTATATATATATACACATCCCAGTGACAAGGATGCCTGCAGAGCCAGCACAACATTATAACGTCACACATGCTGTTGAGTTTAGATTTGTGAAAATTTACAAAATTTGCAGTTTGAGTGTTATTGTGTTAGAGAGAGTAATTATCATGAATAAATTTGACATTAAACATAATCCAAGTCAAAGTGTTACATCATTTTTCAGCCCCTTTTTGGCATATGGTAGCAGGTTAAATTGAGAAAAAACATGCAGAATAATGTAGTATTTTAATTCCACAGCAGAGAAAGCTATGTAGTCTCTATAAGTAGGTCTAGGGGAAAAATATCGGTATTGGTTATCAGCCAAATAAGTTTTTACATATCGGCATATCGGATCGGCCAAAAATCCAATATCGTGCATCCCGACATATTTCCATCAAAGAAGAAGCTTCGAGTTCCTCTCTGTAACAAACAGCCAGACATAATGAACTCGGTCTGTTAAACAGACAACCAGTGTTAACTAAACCAGACGGTCTCTGGGTTCTTTTCCAAGCCAACGTTTTATGAATCTGAATGAAGGTTCTCAAATCATCCCAGTTTTTATTTTCTCTTCCAAAAGGTAAAACACTAACTGTCTTTACAAGCTTGATACACACACACCTTGTTACCTTCTCTGTAACCACCAGTACACTCCCTCTGCCTCCGCAGTGTCAGCAGCAACTCAATCTAAAGCTCCTCCCACTAAACATAACATAATTTAAACAAATACAACTTTAACAGTTCGGTTCATTCTCACTCAAAAATCCTAACTAAGCCAACAATATAACCAGGTAGAGTCCGGTCTTCTTGCTGAAACGTTTCATACGTTTCATCTTTTTTCCAAAAGACTTATTCAGTCTGAGGAGCTGCAACAAACTCAGTCTTATGAATAGCACCTTCTCATAGTGGATCAACCAGTTTATTGTTGACATCCAGAACTAGTTGTTCACATGATAAAGGAGGACCATCAGCTTAACAACTGATTGTTAGTGTCATGATGGCCGCTTGCTATTCATAAGGCTGAGTGAGACTAGCTATAACAGCTTTATAAGAGGGGGACAGTTGGACACGGAGGCCTCAGCCACTGTTTAACGATGGACAAGTTCTCGTCACAAGGATCCAGATATTCTGCAATCATTCAGCAGATATTAAGCAATCATTCAGCAGATATTCAGCAATTGTTAAGCAGATATTCTGCAGTTCAGCAGATATTCAGCAGTCGCTCAGCAGATATTCAGCAATCATTTAGCAGATATTCAGCAATTGTTCAGCAGATATTCTGCAGTTCAGCAGTTATTCAGCAGTCGCTCAGCAGATGT